CCATGCCATCAATCACCATTGTGAGCCAATCATCATTCCTGAGAGCCATAACTTTGTGGTCTGCATAATTGGATCGCTGTACTCTGTTGAAAGGAACAATATATGCAGTTAGTAGCCAGTTTCATGACTGAGAACAGAAACTTCAAATGAAATGGCACATTATCTTACTCAGCTGTCTTCAAGTGTGCATCTCGAAGTGATTCCAACTTTTTCTGTGTCTCCATTTGATTTTCTCAGCTTCACCCGAAATCCTTCACATTTGCCACAGCTGGGGAAAGCATTTGGCTAAAAAGAAACAAGATAAGGTATGATGCTGCACTACAGAGGACACAGATCATTTCAAGGTCGGTCTTTCATTCTTGGGCCACCCAGGTGAGATGGAAGGGAGCAGGGAGGGGAGGAAATATTTGGCTGAAGATGGGCAATTGTTTCAAAAGAGATCATATGGTCTACGTAAAACAAGTGCTGCAAATATTAAGGGATGAAAACCCTAATTATAAGAGTGTATTTTATTATTTTCTCAAGTGTGATTTCCCTCTTAGCAAGGTACTCAGCTGGTATATGCCACATACAAATGCAATGCCACCAAGGTTGAGCAATATGCTTCAGCTGAGTGTAAGATATTCATTAAATACAATCCTTGACCTCCATATTAAGTCCCCCCCCCCAGCTTCCAACACTTACTAGCAAAGCTGATTTGTATAGCTCAGGCAAATAAAAATTTCAAGAGATATAATAAAGAATTCATGTCAATTTTGAACTGAAGTCAAAGCAATACTGATTTTGGCAGAATGTCTCTACCACATTATTATGTGGTCATTTTGTAGTTCAATGGGACCCACTTTAATTCCTTTGAATCAATTTTCAGCACGTTATACACATGGTGATAGATAGATAGTGGTGATTCAATTAGGAACAATATATATGTCAAGGCATTTACTAATAGATATAGATCACACTCTTATTTCTCACCTTTCCAAGTGAAACTTTCATTTTCCTGATAAGGGTTGTGAAGCGGCTAAACTGAAGAAGGCTCTCCTTGCAGTATCCCTTTGCGGTAAATTCCTTCAGGAACTCCCGATGAATCTGAATCCTTGTAAACCCTTGAACAAATGTCTTCTTTGTTGGGGTAGGCGAATGCTGACCATGGTCTTGTAGAAATCTCCTCAGCCAAGCCTGGGCAAACTCTTGCTTGGGTCTCCTTCTTGGGGTCTTGGGAATGCCAAATGGTTGTCTTCTCTGTAACTTCTCCCATTCCACCTTAGTGATGCCAAAGAGATTCAAGCAGCACGGTTTGCAGAGGGTTACACCTTTCAATGAGATGGTTTGGCCACTGCATGAGGAGTTCTTCTGAATCAAATCCACCAAAAGCTTCTTCTTCTCCTTCTCCGACATCTTGTCCAGCTGCTCCTCGATGTCATGAAGATCAGCAAATGCCATCCTCCCAACACAGCATTCAAAGCGATATACTCTGGTCTTCCTACAGGGATTCTTCTTTGGAGTTGACTGTGGTCTGGCTGACATGGAGGCTACATCTGAAAAGAAATCACATGCATCAGTGAAATTTCCCATGGTTTGTCCAAGTATTATGCATCACTTCAAAGAACAATACAAATAGGAGCAAATTCATGATTTCAAAAAAAAATTTGACATCCAAATGATGAATGTCACATTGTTTAGTGCTAAAAGATTTTCTAGTAGGGTAGGGTTTAGGGTTTTCTGGTTTATAAATAGAAAAACATTTTCTGCTCTCCTAAATATGTGCCCCAAAGCTAATAGAAGCATAAAAAATCATCATAAACTAAGAACTTATTCTCTTAATATCAAAGGCTAGATTCTTGCCTTCTTAATCTGCATATATCACATGTATAGATGATTAGACAACCTCCTAAATTATTATAGTATCCCCTGTCAACACACTCACAACAACAGAGTATCTAATGGCAATAATTAACATATAAGACTCACCAATAACATCAGCTGAATTATCAAAAATCCCACAGTTTTCATAGCTCACTTCACCCATCTATAGAAGTGAAGAAAAAAATAATACAGCTTAGAGTATCTAATGGCAATAATTAACATATAAGACTCACCAATGACATCAGCTGAATTATCAAAAATCCCACAGTTTTCATAGCTCACTTCACCCATCTATAGAAGTGAAGAAAAAAATAATACAGCTGCAAAAATTCACTTTGCACAACATGAACTCAATGATTAAACCAAAAAATCTTGGCAATAACTTTTTCTTAACTATTGTTAATTCCCCCCATAATTTTGATACCTATTTTTCAAATCCAGTTGGTATGATTTCAAAGACATACAGTACTCACCCAAACAGGTGGAGTGTTTCCCATAGTGTTAGGTGTGGCTATGAATGATGACATTTCCATGAGGTTCAGTGGAGAGTGAAGTTGTTGGACCGAGTCTTCCGAGTCGTTCCAGTTCACCCGGTGTGGGAGCGGTTCCAACCGTTCTGGTAAATTGTGTTCTAAGGAAAATTGAGGGAATCAATGAAGGGTTTTCATGGAATGCACTGGAATCAATATGAGAACTACTTACTAAATGGTTCCTCACCACATGACATGAATGACTTGGGAGAAGGCAGAGCTTGGATATCAGAAACACTCTGATTCAGGGAGTTGTTAGATTCTCCTGGATGGATCTCACCTGCAAAAATCACAATGTAATAGCAATACATGGTTCACCGATTCCACACTTCCATGACAATAATTACCTGACTCATCCTGAACTCTGCTAAATGATGTAACTGGGGAAGGTAATGTCACTATCAGAGAGTCTGATGCATTCAAAGATTCTTCCCTGTGGCCTTCTTGTGGTCCCCCTTTGAATAGAAAGCAAGCTTCAGCATCATTTTAAACTTCAATTTCTTATTCAAATCTATCAAATGACTCTTTAAGCTCCATAATATCGAGCATGGTGCTGTGAAGTCTTTATAAAGGTAATGTAGAGAATCTCAGAAAGACAGTGAAAAGACAGAGACAGTGAAAAGGCAATATTAGTAAATGCTACTCTCCAGTTACAAACAACAGACTTCCATCACAATTGAACAGATTTCATGAGGAAGTCAACTTCCTCTAATGTGAAGGTTGAGAGCTTAGCAAACTGCAAGTGGCTTTTTAGCATCTCAATGAAAGGATGGAACTTTTCTCTCACCATGAATCAAGTTACATAAATTTCCTTCACCTAGGCCTAGAAATAGGCCATATGTGACTTTTAATAACCATGACATAGACCTACCACTTTCTGATGGGCCTTCAAATGACTCAACAGGCGAGGGAATCGTCATCGTCGTCGATGCTGAAGAGTTCCAGGACTCTCCATCGTGATGGGGTCTCCGGCAGGCTTGCAAGAAACCTGCCAATAAAACCCGAACATCATTTCACATCATTCATCATTAAGTAAAATCATTTTGCATTTGGGACTGAAAACTCCTGGAAATGATTAGAAATGGTTTTAGTAGGGGCAGGAGGGCAGGTTGAACACTGTCATGCCCATGTTTGCTGATCAAATTTCAAAACTTCAGTGAATTCAATCCTCCCCACCTAATTACTGGCAGATATTTCCGGATTGCTTTTGAGAGTACCTCTTCCGAGAACATTTGAAAGGAAGCAGCTGTGGCTTAAAGCTCCCGAAACAACATCGGAGACTTCATGAAACCTATAAATAGAACGTAAGAACCATTGGGATTGTTACTTTGCGGCAGTTTCCATGTGTTTCACGCACCCCCAATCGTTTGAAGAAAGGGGCCCAACCCCAACGCTCATCATGCGGAAGTTCCGTCCTCTCCACTCCTGCGTTACACATGCAGGACGATGCTCACAGGCCTAACATTAAGTCTAATTCATCCAGGAGGAGGTAGGGATGACGTACATACGAACTCCATAGAGAGGGAGAGGGGGTTCACATATCGAACATTGGAAATGCTGGAGGTTTGGAAGAGGGGGGGAGGGAGGGGTTGACATATCGAACTATTCTCTAATGATTCTCCAACTTATTGGAAGTCTCGGACCCATGTAAAGATTGAGGCGTTTTTGACTTTGTGCATTCACCTTATGATAGTTACTGTCACCCAGTGGCGGCTCGTGAGATCAAGACCTGGGAGGCCTGCAAGGGCTGGGGCCGCTCAAATGACCCGCGCACCGGCATGGCTAACATGGCCGAATTATTTTCGTACATGCTACACAGAGGGCCGCACGTGCATGCAGCCCGTGAAACCTCCATAGCGCGCTCTTGCAGGTCTGCGGGAGACACGGGCCAGCGGATCATATACCTCAATGTCATGCAGGCTGCAGGACGCGCAGCTCGCCGCGCTCTCAACAATATTTAAGAGATCTCGATGCTTAGTTCATTAAATTAGAACGTGATCCTGCGCTTTCGAGATCACTGGGAGACTACAGTCCTGCAGCCTCATAGCACGAGCCACTCCTGCTGCCATCCCAAAATTAATCTCTATTGCTGATCTCGATGCTTAGTTCATTAAATTAGAACGTGATCCTGCGCTTTCTAGATCACTGGGAGACTACAGTCCTGCAGCCTCATAGCACGAGCCACTCCTGCTGCCATCCCAAAATTAATCTCTATTGCAAAATTAATCTCTATTGCTTGCGTAGGAATGTGATGCATATGCATCACATTCAAATAACAGAGCGAGAGGGATTGCCACGATCTGTATGCAGTAATTCGCTTAAGTCAAAAGCGACCTGCGAAAACATGGTTCCTCGGCTGAATTATGACTCTCGATCTCAGAGATCGAACTGGTGCAGCTAAAAGAACCACGGCGTCTCAGAAACTGCACGTAAGTTATTGTAATACTCTTCTCGCGGCATTCACTTGCGCGACATTTGTGTACTAACTCATGAACATTCCTCTACATTCTCTTTGTGGCTAATAAATTGTCTCTAAGGTTTTCCTCCCAGAAGTGCAGCATTCGCAAATTTTCGAACTTCCGCACGTGTCTCACAAAAAACTCATCGAAGGTAGGTAATCTAGTTTCGTTGTGTCAATTTTCTCTCAGTCACCTAAATGACTCGCCATAGAGCAAGTAAGGATCGAAAGTGATATGAAAGTGAGCTTTTTCTGCACCTGATATGAATAAAAACGTCGGAGTGGTCCATTACTCCCCTGATTACCCTATCTTTTCCGGGCTACACCTCCCATCTCTTATTCGTGGAAAATATCGAAAGTGATATGAAAGTGAGCTTTTTCTGCACCTGATATGAATAAAAACTTCGGAGTGGTCCATTACTCCCCTGATTACCCTATCTTTTCCGGGCTACACCTCCCATCTCTTATTCGTGGAAAACCCAGAAAACTTCCTCACCCTGCAACGCACTAATGCAATGGGGAACGCATTTAAAACATCACTCCAATCAAGCATTAGAGACGAGTTAATATGAATAATACTTCGAAACTTACGTGAGGAAGATGGAGTAGAACATGAACAATCCATAGTAAGAAACTTCACGGGAAGAAATTTTCCCTGAACCCACTGCTGGTCTCGTCTCCGAATCTTGAATTGAGTACTTGAAAAAACCCACACAACTATACAATGAGGGAATGTCCTTACAAGGACATCTGCAGCAGAAAGCAGCCAGAACTGAAATAAAGCAAGAAAAAAAATTGGACCGTAGTTTTTGTATCACCCTTACTCTATATACATTTATTCGCTTGAAAAGCGAATAACGGGAATGAAGCAGGAATATGAAGGGGCGAAGTGGTGGAAGGAGATAGGAGGGTGGGGGGAAAGCTCTGTGATAAGGAAGGAAAACAAACCCGATGCGAAAAAGGGTGAAAAAGGGCTGGAACCTTCTCGCACTCTCAAACGAAGACGACTGACATGTATGAGGATAGAGTCTCCCTTTCCCCCTCCCCTGCCCGTCTTCATTGGCTCCGTGTCCTGTGACGTAGTAGCCACCGATGGTGAGCATTGCTTCTCTACGGACCTCTTTTTCGGATCCGGGCATCCCAGCAAGGTATATCCATAGGTCTATGTAGTAATGTGAAAACTGTTTTTCGAAGGCTTTCCCTTTATTCAACCCCTACCCACCAACTTCAACTTCCACTTCATCACACCCCCTCCCCTGCTCTATGAAACTCACAAACGTTAATCCTAGGCCTAACCGACGGACTGTTCGGGTCAGGCCTAGGTCTACCTTTTTCTTTCAAAAGAGACTCAATCCTTGACTTACGGGGTCAATTAGGCCTGTAAGGATTAATTCCTGGTCTTCGAGACATCTCATCGAGGACGTGTAACGTTAGGCCAAACGCAGGCCGATTCAGTCTCTCGTGGCCCATTTAAGGAAGGACGTGTAACGTTAGACAGATGAGAGGTGCATGGTGTATCTGCTTTTCAGTCCGCAGAGTCCTTATTTTTTTTTCATTTCTGCTGATAGTAGATGATAAACCATGATGTTCCTCGCTGACCCATGCATAGGCGGCGATATTAGACAGATGAGAGGTGCATGGTGTATCTGCTTTTCAGTCCGCAGAGTCCTTAGTTTTTTTTCAGTTCTGCTGATAGCAGATGATAAACCATGATGTTCCTCGCTGACCCATGCATAGGCGGCGATATGTTGAGAAATATTTGACATGCGCAGAGGCAATACTCCTGCAAGTATTCCTCGCTGAGAGGCCTTTCGCGCTGTTTTTTTTTTTGGTGGGGGCGGAGCTCGAGCCTTCAGAGTCCCTATCAATCACTGCCTATTGCATGGCCACCGAACGTCTGCGTTCACTTCGTCATGGTGTGCAAAATTTTCAGTCAACGTCGTTTGATTCTGTAGAGGTAGAATCGTACGTGGGAGCGCATGAATAATCAGAAACCATCGATTCAACAATGATCATTAACGTGTCGCATCGAAATTGCATAGACAGCAGAGTAGGTCATTCGGGCAACTATGATAATCGCCCAACGATCCGGAGTTTTCTGACGCTTTCCAAATAAAACGAAAAACATTGTGCATATGAAACAATATATTTCACACTCAATCAAAGGAAAATCTCCAGACTCGGATTCTCCCCTCGAATACTTCTCTGATCGAAGTCACATACTCCTCTGAAGGGATAAACAAGAATGTGACGTCATCCGCCGCCGAGAGAGCTGCAAAATAAATACAACGATTTTAAAATAAAATCGTTACAGGTGGCAGGTGGGTGTACATTTCGTTAGTTTTCAGCGTCTGTCCATCATGGCTATTTCTTTTGAATTGGAGAAAAAGTGAAGATGGAGAGAGTCTTACGTAGAGAGGCTGGTGCGACCTGTGTTGTGAACAGGACTCTCGCCGAGCCTGTCGCGAAATCCCTTGCTGCCTCCCGCCTCTCCCGGCGACGAAGACGTCCCGTGATGGCTGTCGCTCTCATTCCCAATTGAGTGGAGATATAACAGGCCATAAAATCGGCAAATCTTGTCTCCCGGGTTATGAGGATGGTCTTCCTGGTAGCTGCATCGTTAAGAAAGGTAAAAGGGAAATGCCTTATTTGAAAATTATTTGAAGGGGTTGAAGCGAGATTGAAAGAAATCTAGAGACTATTCCAAGAGATATAGTTCCTCATCGACTTTAGAAAGTGTTATGTCATTTAAAATCCGATGATTGAACCAAGAATTAAGCTAATGCAGCATATGCATGGGATTACCTTGTTGACGAATCAAACGAATGAGAGAATGATCTTATTGTTTAAAGAAATATGAACTTGGGGACTTACGATATCTTTGGAGTTGCCGAGTGAGCGCTCTGATGTTCTGCAGTCTATCCATTGTTGTTGTTGTGGCGGAGAAACAAAACCTAAGACACTGAGCATGGGTCAAGTGACTGATTTTATAGGCTGATGTTCATGTAGTTTGAGCTTCTTTTTTTGCTTTTCCGGTGGGCGGGAGCTCCCGGTGGGCGGAAGGAGGGGATGGGCGGAAGGAAAGGCTGCTACAGGGGCTCTAGGGGGGTGGTGGGCAGGAGGGCTGGTCTATTCCGTTCCTTTCTCCTGGTTCCGGTCCGGACAAAAATTAAGCAGGGGTGGGGAAGTCTTAATCTNGCAAAATCCCAGGAAGGAGGGCTGTTGAGTAATTTTCGTCCTGCTCGGCTTTTTCATGTTCTGTCTGTCACGACGCTCCTTTCTTTGAGATGGCGTGGAATTCAGAACGCCTTGCATGACGTAAGAGGCCAGAGGAGGATAGAGAAGCATTGAGTTATTTCCCTTTTACTCGGAGTCACAGCTATTATTTAGTACATTTGAGCATTTCAAACTGTGTCATCAAGCATCTCGCTAATGCACTTCTCGTGCTTGAAGGAAATCATTGGCTGTGTTTCGTGCTTGCTATGGCCACTAATTTAGTGGCCATAGCAAGCAGGCAGGACGGTGAAAAATGAGGACACATCTTTAGAATACTGCTGGTATTATTTTCTGATGTATGGTCAAAAAGAATTTTCTTGTCAAAGTTTTCTAGCACAATTGCTAGTAAGCTTATAAGGCCCCAATTAGTTTCTTGCATTCCCATTATCAAGCTGAATTACCAGCTGGGGTGAAAAAAGCGTTCTAATGTATTTAATTCTCAATGAGTGCTCATGGGTATGATTCATTCAGTTATCTATTAATCAACACTTAGCCTACCAATTCCATAAACAAACAAAACAGGAAATGCAATGCTATCTTATCTAGCCAGGGTGCTAGCACCAAGTCCAAAGTAGCTGAATATTATGACTAGATGCAATGTCCTATCTCGCATTTCTCCGGTAAAGGAAAACGCTTTAGTCTTATGATTCTCTGGTATCCGTCTCTTTTCTGAAACGTTTGTGCAGTGCTTTCCTTCCGTTGTTGTGTCTTCACACCGACACAGGTAATGGTTATATTGGAAAATATCCATTGAAAATATGGCAACTACGGAGGCGGAGAAAAAACTTGTGATCATGAAGGACTTTGATGATCACAATGGTCTTGCCAAAAAAATTTCTGAGTGCTTCAGGGAAGGACCGAGCTGGTGTGACGCCGTTATTCTCATCCAAGGTGTCAAATTCTATTCCTGCAA